ACGCGGGCCGTGGCCAAGCTGCACATTGATTGGCCACAGGCGGTGCAGCAGCCATCGGCAGGCAGCAAACTAGATGAGCGGTTTCTGCAACACCGAGCGCCACCCACGCGTCGGCCCCTACCATTTTTTCCGGATGGAATAAACCCTTCTCTGCGCGGCTGTCTACGTCCACCCGGCTGGACTACGGCAGCGTGACGGGAATCAGACAGCACGGCTACGGAGCGATGCCACGAGTGGAGGAGGCACTGGCTAGCTACCTCTCTCCCAACCTCGCCTCATCCCTCCAGACACCGGCGCTCCCCACCAAGCCGTGTCGGATGACGTCCGATTTGGTGGGCAAGGCTTACATGGCATCGGGTCGAGCTGGTGCCAGCCTACATACGATGGCTGTCTTGCAGGCATACCAGGCCGATCTCCTCCTGACTCTCCTGACTGTGACGTAGGGGGAGGTCCCTCTGAGGAGGCTCTCCGTGTGACCAAGGAAACGGCCCGTTCCATCGGCCGATCCATGGCGGCTTTGGTGGCTACGGAGCACGATCTGTGGTTCAACCTATCAGGCATCCAGGGGAAGGAGAGGGCTTTTCTCCTGAATGCGCCCCTCTCGCCTTCTGGCCTGTTTGGCGAAGCAGTGGATGCTGTCGTCAACAGGTTCCAGCACGCCAAAACTCAGGGAGAGGCATTTGAGCGATATCTCCCCCGCCGGTCAGACTCCAGGACCTCGACGGCTCAGGAAAGGCGGACGCAGCCTTCATCCAGCACCTACCGCCACAGCCAGAAGCAGAGCGTCGCTTCGCAGGATCCCCCTCAACCAACCTGGGACGAAAGACGGCGCTCTCCCCACAGCCCCCCGAGGGAAGAGGTCCTGAGACCTCGAGTAGGGGGACCCACCACCCCGAGGGGCTGGTCCCCTTGGCGAAGTTCGCGGAACCTTGGCGAAGACTCGCAAACATTTCCCCGTGGGTCCTCCGCACAGTAGTAGATGGCTACAGGCTGCAGTTCCGGGTTCGCCCCCCCAGATTCTGCGGGATGCTCGGGTCTACAGTACATGCAGAACAGAGCCAGGTGTTGGGACAGGAAGTCCGCTCTCTGCTGAAGAAAGGGGCCATAGAATTAATTTCCCTGCCAGTCAGAGAAGCCGGCTTTTACAGCCGATACAGTACTTCCTGGTCCCCAAGAAGGATGGAGGATTGTGTCCGATTTTGGATTTGCGGTCCCTGAACCAATCTCTGAGGAGATTCAGGCTCAGGTTGCTTACCATCCCAGCCATCATCAGTCACATCCAATCCGAGGATTGGTTTGTCATGGTAGATCTGCAAGACGCTTATTTCCACATCTCCATCCGTCCCTCTCACAGGAAGTTCCTGAGGTTCGCCTTCGGGGGCACGGCTTACCAGTATCGGGTTTTTCCGTTCGGCCTAGCACTATCTCCCCGCACGTTCACCAAATGCATGGATGCAGCTCTGGCTCCGTTGAGGCTCCAGAGCATCCGCATACTGAACTACATCGACGACTGGCTCGTCCTGGCCCAGTCTCAAGAGTTCGGCATCGAGATGTCGTCCTCGCCCACCTTCAGCGTTTGGGGCTGCGGCTCAACGCGAAGAAGAGCGTGCTGACACCCGCCCAATGGACTGCGTTCCTAGGGGTGGTGTGGGACTCAACGACGATGCGGGCCCACCTGTCTCCCGCACGCATCGAGTCCATTTTATCCACAGTGACCAGAGTGCAGTTAGGCCGCGCCATCACTGTAAAACACTTTCAGAGGGTGTTGGGTCTTCTGGCAGCAGCGTCCAGTATAATACCTTCCGGACTACTGCACATGAGAGCCCTGCAGTGGTGGCTAAAATCCAAGGGATTCTCCCCGAGGGGAAATCCACTCCGTCTGATACGGGTTACAAGCGGATGCCTTCGTTCCCTGTCTGTATGGAGGAAGCCTTGGTTCCTGTCCCAAGGTCCTGTGTTGGGAGCAATCTGTCGCCGAACAATTATTTCAACAGAGGCCTCACTCACGGGATGGGGCGCGGTCATGGACGACCGCTTCGCAAGAGGCTCCTGGGAGGAGCATCATTTCTCTTGGCACATAAATTGCCTGGAAATGTTGGCGGTTTTCAGAGCTCTGAGGAGTTTTCTGCCCACTCTCCGCGGTCGCCACGTCCTTGTCAGGACCGACAATACGGCGGTGGTGGCCTATTTGAATCACCAGGGGGGTCTGCACTCGCGCCCATTATGCAAACTGGCACATCGGATCCTCCTGTGGTCCCAGGAGAGACTGCTGTCCCTCAGAGCGATGTACATCCCTGGGACCCAGAATCAAGGAGCATACCTGCTGTCGAGACAGGGGCTGAGGCCCGGGGAATGGAGACTCCACCCCGAGGTGGTGGAGTTATTATGCGAAGAGTTCGGCCCCATAGACGTGGACTTGTTTGCGTCCCGAGAGACGGCACACTGTCCCCTGTGGTTCTCCCTATCACCCCCAGCCCCGCTGGGGCTGGATGCCATGGTACAGACGTGGCCGAGGCTGCTCTGGAGTGGGTCCGCCAGGACGGCGTCAGCCTACTACTAGTAGCCCCGTTTTGGCCGGCACGAGTATGGTTCTCGGATTTAATATCGCTCCTCGAGGGCTCGCCCTGGCAGGTCCCTCTGAGAAGAGACCTGCTGTCCCAGGCAGAGGGCCGGATCTTTCACCCGCACCCCGCCCTGTGGCAGCTATGGGTCTGGCCCCTGAGGGGGCGCAGTTCTTAGAGGCGGGTCTGATGACAGGAGCAGTCGAGACGCTGCTCAGCTCCAGAGCCCCGTCCACGAGAAGGATGTACGGCCTAAAGTGGAATGTGTTCACCACCCGGTGCAGAACGGGCGGTGGACCCAGTTACCTGCTCGGTATGTGATACTGGAGTTCCTCCAGCACCGTTTCTCCGCTGGCCTCTCCCCGTCCACGCTCAAAGTATATGTGGCTGCCATTGCAGCATTCCACACCCTCTGAGTGATGGGCCCTTGGGGAGGCTTCCGCTGGTCGTTTGCTTCCTCCGTGGAGCCCGGAGGATGAGACCCATGACTCGTTCCAGGGTTCCCACCTGGGACCTGGCAGTGGTTCTCAAAGCGCTGGCTGAGGCCCCCTTCGAACCCCTGGAGTCGGCTGAGGCCAAGCACCTGACCCTTAAGATGACCTTTCTCCTCGCTATCACCTCTCTGAGGAGGGTGGGCACTTTCGGTCTCCCCGATGGAGTTTGCCCCGGGGAGGGTCAGGGCCATCCTGCACCCTTGTCCAGGTTATGTCCCTAAGGTTCCGGCCAGACTGGCAGGGTCCACGGTGCTGCAGGCGTTTCATCCCCCACCTCATGTGATGGCGGAGGACGGGAGACTTCATCTGCTCTGCCCTGTCAGAGCACTGAGTATTTACACCTGCCTTCTGCACTCGGCACCCGTGCGCTCTCCTCCTAGTCGTGCCGTCAGGTTCTGCACGCTGGGGGCAGGCGGGGTTTCGGTGCGGCCTAAGTGGGTATCTCGTTCCCATAGTGTCGTCACCGACGCAGTTCAAGTTCCCTCGAAGGGGAACGTCTCGGGTTACGTATGTAACCCTTGTTCCCCGAGAAGGGGAACGAGACACTGCGTCGGTCCACCACACCTCACCCCGCCTGGAGTGCCTTGCTTCATAGAAAGGGCTAATGTGTCCTATGTGCCGGCGTGCTTATATACCCCCTCCGGTTACGCCGTCACACACTACCGTTCTAGTAACACCAATAGGATTGGAGTAGTTTCATTCATAGTTCAGCCCTGCCATGCCCAGGGGCGTTCCCATAGTGTCGTCACCGACGCAGTGTCTCGTTCCCCTTCTAGGGGAACAAGGGTTACATACGTAACCCGAGACGGTCTCTCACTGCAAACACACCGGCTTGTCCTGCCTCTCTCTCCCAGCATGTGTCTCCACTCTGCCGACTTTCTTCATCAGCAGTAGGCTACGTTCCATAAATTCACCTGAGTTTCCATTTCCACAGCAGCAGGTGTGCCGCGCACGTGCGCTGTGTGTGCAGTCTACATCTGCAGTTTTGTGTTCACTGTTGCTCTGTGCTTGTAACGTAATACCAGATAACAACTCTCTCTGTGTTTCCCTGCAAAATGCAAGAATGGGTTGCCAAACATACTTTGACAGCTATCAGTATACTTGCCGCCCAAGTAAAGTACATGTGTCAAACACTGTATTTAAAGTTAGGGCAAGCTGCAGGCCTATTTTTTGTAAGTATTACACCGTTATTACCTACAGCTATTTTATTGTCTTTTAACGGCGTGTCACATGAGCATTGGGCTGGCAATGGAGCAGTGGATAAGACCATAGAGTTTGATAAGGCTGAGCAAGACACTTAACCCCTAGTTGCTCCAATAGCAATTGTAATTGTTGGATAAAAGCGTCAGCTAAATGAATAAATGTAGATGTATGAGGGGCGGCTGTGGTTCAGGAGGTAGAGTGGGTTTCCCATTAATCGGACGATCAGTTGTTCAATCTCCGGCTCAAAGTGTCCTTGGGCATTATATCAGTGTATGGATGTAGTGTAAAAGTGGTCGCCAAGAAAGGCGCTATGCAGAGCATTTACATTTACGGTTTTGGTACAGTAATGATTGAGTAATCATGTCTGCAAGTTTGAGTAGTTTAATTAACCCAAGATGGATAGTAATAATAATGATGATAATAAGGATAATAAATATAATAATACTGCCCTACCCTCCCAAAAGAATAGAAATAAAAAAAACTTAGGTATGAACTGAACCATGGCTCAAAAATCGACATCTGAACCTAACCTTGGATTACACCCCTATGGCAGAGGCTACCATGCAAGGTGCCAACTGCTCCTCAGTTCAGTAACTTGCCTAAGGACACTTCAACATGCAGACTGAAAAAGCTTTGGATCAAACTAAAGTTCCACCCGCTCTGCCTCTAAACCACAGGTGTTATGTCTGTTATCATGAAAGTTCCATACATAGTACCTGTGAGCCCTGTTTGTGCATTGTAGGTACTACCTGTGTCTCCAGCTGCGGAAGGACATCCTGCAGGGCCGCCTTCCCTGTTCCTTTGTCACCCTGGCCCTGCTGGGGTCCTATGCCCTGCAGTCAGAGCTGGGCGAGTACGACCCTGAGGTGCATGGCAACGAATATGCTAAGGACATGAAAATGGCCCAGGGTCAGACCAAGGAGCTGGAGGACAAAATGATGGAGCTTCACCATACATACAGGTCAGAGCACTGCCTCAGTCAACCAGCGGTGGAAGGTGTTCAGATTCTTTAGTAAAAGTATCAATACCACAATTAAGTGGATTTGTTAAATAATTGTGTTACAAGTCAAATTCTGTTTTAAAAATTTTAAATAAATAAAAGTACATAAAAATTGTGTGTGCTTGTGTGCGTGTGTGCTTGAACTCGAGCCAAAACAAACAACATAAATACAATTTTTATTTGCTATAAGTAATCCATGCTCATTGCACGATACCGTTACATTGCATGCATTTAGCCGACATGATTTGTCCACAGTTATACGTAAGTAACGTTACAGTAACGTAGTGAATGGGTCTCCCACTGTGTTGTCCTGCGCCGTTATGTTGCATTATTGTATATTATGTGGGTTACATAAGTTACAGAGTTATCTAACTTCAGCCAGCTAAAGCACACACTCACTCTCCTTTACAACTCAATATATTTACATGCTTTACAGTAATGTTAGATTACCTGTCCAATAGGATGAAAGCCAACTCTGGGGCTGTTTTTATATCCAAAACAAAACGGAGGTCTCTCCATGCCTGCTTTCTGATTTTGACCCGTGCTTTCACCCTATGTCGATCTGATTCTTTTTTGGCCTGACGGGCTTCAGCATATAAAACTTTTTTTTTTTTTTCTTAAGTGGAGTTTGTGTTGGAGTCTGTATTGTGCTGGGAGGCAGTCATATTTTGGGACATTGTCTTATTAGCTGCGGTGTTGTCGCTGTGTGTACAGTTCAGAATCAGCAGGCAAGAGGCTCAGGAGCTTGATTGCAGAAGATCTAACACGATTCCTTCACGTAGGACGCAGAATAGTGGCTTTTCAAAGGGACGGAGAAAGCAGGCGTGTGGTTAATTTTTATTGCCATTACACACACTTCACAAATAGGCAGTAAAAAAATGTTTTATTCATAAGTGATTTAATTAAAAAACTACATATAGCCTCTTTAAGTAAATGCACCTCACTTTTACTTTGAACCACTCCACTCAAAAGAACTAAGTCCATCTAATTATTAATGTAACTATACAGGCTTAAATAAAAATATAAATCAGGCCGTTAAATAAAAAAAACAGTTTTGTGATGTAATAAACTTGGCTTGAATCAAGATCCGGTATCAGTATTCATATCACAGCATCTCCACAGTGACAGTAACTAAATATTTTGTTGGATTCCTGCTGTGGTGTTGTGGCAGGTCAATGAGTCCAGCCCAGGCAGACCTGATGTTCCTGGAGAATGCCAAGAAACTCTCCATGTATGGAGTGGACCTCCACCAGGCCAAGGTGAGCATAGGAGCTACAGCTGTTCAGCTGCTCTTCTAGGCAACTGCTCTTTATGGTTAAATGCTTAAAAAAGGGCTTAGTAAGAAGCAAGTCATCTTTGTTTTCCCCGGTGACTTTTATGGTCAAATATATAAATATACTTAATTTGGGTGTGAATGTGATTCAACCACTCACTGTTCAATAAAAACTTCCCTGGCCTGAACAGCAGGAAGACATGTGACTTGTCAGGTTTTACAGCAGAAATCAGGTCAATCTGTTTGCATCAGAGCAGGGATATAACCTAATATGTAGGGAGGAACCTTTACAGAACAATACTGCCCCCTGTGGATGATGGTGAGCAGTACAAGGAAACTGCATCATAAAACAACTGCTGCAGATGCTACTACAGTAGAGTAAACTTTTCTGCTTACATGGATAATCATTGGTAGCAGTACAAACAGTAATAAACATTTCAAACACATGTCCTGATCACCACTGCAAAAAAAACAGTTTATACTAAGAGAAAGTCTTAGACTTAACTGTTCTGTAAATGTAAAATTTGTGTAAATAAAAAACATAAAAATGTCATCAGTCCTCAAGATAGTCTCCCAAACAGGGACCTGTTGCAAAGCAAGATGTCTTAGCATTTACAGTCATCACAACAAAATGATTATGTTAAAAGCACATTTGCATGGAACACTCCTATTTTAGATAGCATTTACTAGAATCAAAATCCAGAAACGAATCAGAATCAGAATCCTTATAAAACCCTTATCTAATCCACTTACAAGCAAGTAATGAAACTGCTACAGCCCCCTACAGAACACCCCTTGCGCCACGTTTCAATGAAATGTAAGATATTTTTTGCACACTGCAAAAACTAAAATCTTAGTAAGATTAATTATCTTAATTGAAGGCAAAACATGTTTTGTTTTTTGTCTGACAAGATATTTCTTCTTACCAGGCGGCTCTTATGTTAGAGAATTTCACTTGTTTCAAGTTTTTTGGGCCTTAAGTAGCAAGTGAAATATTCTTGTTTTTGAGAGCTCAGTTTATGCAGTGCACATGTAGCTTGTCCAGAGTTAGGAAAAAGTGTCTTGGAGCGATTCCCTAAACCCATCGGGAAGACGCCATTGTCAATTTACCGGTAGGTTTTGCCATTTACCAGCTCCATACTTTAACAAACTTTTCCAATTAATCGATCTGATTTCAAATTTTTGCTGTGCAATCTAAAGACATTGTAGATGAAAATTTGTGCTGCTGGATAATAAAACAATGATGATAAGTCTTGCGATTTATTAATTAATTATGCGCAGTGCAAGGTTGTAATTTCAGTAGCTTGCTCATTTATGAATATACTGACGTCAAATCACCTCTCATCTGTCCTACACATCCTCTCACAATTTCACACACATTTCCCGTTTTATTTTGAGGTTTTCTGCCTCTTGTATCAAAACTGCTTCCTGTCTGTGTTTTCATTGATTGTCTGAATTTGTTCCAACTGTGCCTCATTTATCACCTCCCTCTTATATATTTAAGTCTATGTCTGTTCATTGTCTCATTTAATGTTGAGAGTCTCTGCCTGTTTCCCATGCCTGTTTGTGGATCACTTTAGATTTATTTGTGTTTTTGGTTCTGACCTTTCATCCGTTATTCATCCATCAATGAGTGCACGGGCATTGGACCGAATTAAATGATTGGCCTTGCTTATTTCTGTCCTGCGACATTTTTAAAATAATTTCCCCCCACAGCATTTGATTGACCGCCCCCTTTACGAAGTGTAGCGTCATGTGATACTTGTCAATTGACAGCCACAGCACACACTAAATGTATCATACAGACAGAAGAAGTTAGCCAGGATCTGCCAATCCAGGGAGGAAATGTGATTAAACTATTCCTTTTCTGATGTCAACCTGTGATGACCTGGTTTTAATCATGTTGGTATACAATGCTCTGTGATCAAAACATAATTTGGAGGAATGGTGGTTATCCCTCCAACAGACTTCTAAAGACTGGAGACTGACTGAAGTTGTTTTGCCTAGTGGTGGAATACACCTTAATACACTTCCTTTCATTTGTCACCCATTTAAGATCTTTGTTTATCTTTGTTGTTCATTCCAGGTTCCCTCAAAATGTCTTAGCTCTCTGAAATCTGCATATCCTGGCAGTGATAATCTTTCTGTTTCTCTGGGTGTCTATGTCAGGATCTAGATGGTGTTGACATTATGCTGGGGGTTTGCTCCAGTGGTCTGATGGTTTACAAAGAGAAACTGAGAATCAACCGTTTCCCCTGGCCCAAAGTTCTCAAGGTCTCATACAAACGTAGCAGTTTCTTCATCAAAATAAGACCATCTGAGGTACAGTGTTCATCACAACAAATATTCATCCACCTGTAAAATCTGTTCATTGTTTAACACTAAACATACCCAAATCATTAATGAAACCATAAAGCTAATTTCATTAGCCTTGTTTTTAGCAGGTTTGTTTGTTGTTTCACTAGGTGGAACAGTATGAAAGTGCAATTGGATTCAAACTACCCAATTATAAGGCAGCCAAGAAGCTGTGGAAAGTATGTGTTGAACATCATACCTTCTTCAGGTAAGATATTGTATTCGGTAAGTCAGTTTATTTACATGGCTATGCAGTCTTTTAGGTGAAGGGACCATGGGCATTTTGCTAAACATGCTTGCTTGCTTAGTTAGATCAGAAGATCCGTCTCAGTGTTCTTTTTGTGCAGGCTGACCTCCACTGAGATGGCCACCACTCCTAGGAAGTTCCTGGCTTTGGGCTCTAAGTTTCGCTACAGTGGTCGGACTCAGGCTCAGACCAGACAGGCAAGCTCTCTCATCGCCAGACCAGCTCCTCTGTTCCAGCGCTCCTCCAGCAAGAGGAACTCACACAGCATGGATGGAGGTAAACTGTTCCACCCCCTGTTTGTTCTGTAGGCGTTTGTGTGTGTGTATTTGTCAAACTGTTGGCCAGTACAATGCCGATCTACAGGTAAGTGTACTAGTGTTCTTGATTTTATTCTCCAAAAAAATTACACTTGTGTAAACACAGGCATACAGACACACAATGACACCATGCAGTTGCAGACCTGCAACCTTTGATCAGCACCACGGACAGCAGCCGAAGTACCACGTCTATCAAAGCAAATCTAACAGCCTGGGGTTCTCATAAATAAACGGTGCGTATGTACAAAACTGGGCTTCCTAAGCAAAGGTTGTGATCTATAAAAAAACAAACTGAGAATGTGCGGTCCTGTAAGTAAACTCTGAACCATGCGTACGGACATAAAGAGGGGAAATGAGAAAAGGCGACTCACATGGCAGAAGGATGAAATGGTTTAAAATGAATAGGCCTACTATTGTGTAAAATAAATTGAAATATTTAATTTAAAAAAAACATAATTTAACATAATTTAATCATTTGCAGCCACAAAAAAAAACATATTTTAGGATAACAAACGGAGATATCGATTTTTGCAAAAGAATGCCGTGCATTTTATTCTCATAAATAAGGTGAACAGGAGGACAAATTACATTTAAATTGCCATTTTCAATGCGTCAGTCGAGCAAATACGAGTGGATTGTTTCATATATTATCAGATGTTCGTTGCCTTATCGAGCCAAACGCTGTGCGCCAGCGCGTGGATGTGATGCGCTGCATGTAAAAACACATTATGGAAAATATAACACTATTTTATTAAGTAAATCTTTCATTGTGCCGCTTTTGTCATTTAAGTCCTATTTCTTTTAACTCATCGGCAGCCTCGTTAAGTTAGTGAACTGTTTGTGTAGCCTAAATAAATGTTTAAACACAGTGGAATGCATTTGGTTTACTCTCTTTTGAAACGGGGAATTAGTAGCTGGGTCATCTTGTCTTGCGTGTGTGTGTCCCCCTCCAAGCAGCGACGTGACTACTCAAGAGGGATGCCCCTTCCTGGAGATTGGTTATTAGGGCCCGAGCACGACCGTGTGAGGTCCCTATTGAATTAGCTAAGATTATATTTAGGGCCCGAGCACGACCGTGTGAGGTCCCTATTGAATTTGCTAAGATTATATTTAGGGCCCGAGCACGACCGTGTGAGGTCCCTATTGAATTTGCTGAGATTATATTTAGGGCCTGAGCATGACCGTGCGAGGTCCCTATTGAATTTGCTAAGATTATTATTTAGGGCCCGAGCACGACCGTGTGAGGTCCCTATTGAATTTGCTAAGATTATATTTAGGGCCCGAGCACGACCGTGTGAGGTCCCTATTGAATTTGCTAAGATTATTTTTTTTTTAGGGCCCAAGCACGACCGTGTGAGGTCCCTATTGAATTTACTTAGATTATTATTTTTTTAGGCCCGAGCACGACCGTGTGAGGTCCCTATTGAATTTGCTAAGATTATATTTTTAGGGCCCGAGCACTACCGTGTGAGGTCCCTATTGAATTTGCTAAGATTATTTTTAGGGCCCGAGCACGACCGTGCGAGGTCCCTATTGAATTTGCTAAGATTATATTTTTAGGGCCTGAGCACGACCGTGCGAGGTCCCTATTGAATTTGCTCAGATTATTATTAGGGCCCGAGCACGACCGTGTGAGGTCCCTATTGAATTTGCTAAGATTATATATATATATTTTTTTTTTTCTTTTTTCTGCAAAGTAGGCTCAACTGACATGGACTAAACATACTCGAAAACTCACCAAAATTTGCAAACATGTCAGAACCGGTGAAATTTTGGATGATTTACACACTTCGTACTTTAACGAACTCCTCCTAGGGATTTAGTCCGACCGACCTCAAATTTCCGCTGTGCCTTCTAAAGGCATTGAAGATGAAAAGTTGTGCTATTTGCGAGTTTTCGTCAATGGGCGTGTCCGTGGCGTGGCGTCAAAGATCAAGTCTTTGCCATGACACAGGAAGTTGTTGTAACTTCAGTATACATGCTCACATCTGGACCAAACTGTACATGTAGGATGAGAGTCCCGCCCTGAACACATGTACATGCCGACATTCACCCACAGTCATAGCGCCACCTGCTGGCAACAGGAAGTGACTTTTAACGAAGCAGCCCCCGCCACACGTTTCACCTACGTGCACGAATTTTCTGTGGTACGTGTATCTTGTCCAGACGCACAAAAAAGTCTCTTGGAGCCATAGCCTAAACCCAACAGGAAGTCGGCCATTTTGAATTTTACGTCAATTTTTGGATGATTTACACACTTCGTACTTTAACGAACTCCTCCTAGGGATTTAGTCCGACCGACCTCAAATTTGTGCTGTGCCTTCTAAAGGCATTGAAGATGAAAAGTTGTGCTATTTGCAAGTTTTCGTCAGTGGGCGTGTCCTTGGCGTGGCATCAAAGATCAAGTCTTTGCCATGACACAGGAAGTTGTTGTAACTTCAGTGTACATGCTCACATCTGAACCAAACTTTACGTGCTTGATAACTCTCCCACCCCGAAGACATCTACACGCCAATACCGATTTATATTCATAGCGGCAAGTGCTATGTAGCTCCACATAGGGGACACAGGAAGTGACATATAACACCTTCATGCGCCATCGGAACCGCGTAACAAATTCACAGCCGCACTGGCAGAGCTCCAGAATATGCAACTCGGCCGACTCACACCCGGACGCGCTAAAAGTGCGAGGGCCCGCCCAACGCTGCTTGCAGCTTTAATTATTACTTTATTCTTATTAAGTGATGGCGTTATTATTATTATTACTTTTATTTTTCAGAATAGTCCAACTTTATTCTTGAAATGTCAGAGAACACATATGTGGGGATCAGTGCTGAATATTCAGAAAGTTTTGAACATGAGCAGAAAACCTGCTGAAACACAAGCTATTAATCCTGGGGCTGTGCTGATTCTAAATTAATCAAAATGAATTTATTTAGGGCTGACCCCAAATAGTAGAAGATTCGATGCTTCGATGGGCGGAGCCTGATTCGACTGTCAATCTCACAGTCGAAGCTTCACAGTGAAACAAGGATCATGCCATTTTGGCGATATGGGGGTGCTCAACTTCTGATTTTACATAGAACTACCAGTTTTCTCCCAATAAGTTAATATACAGCCTATTACAATATAAATTTTAACGTTTAATGCTGTAAATAAACATGTAAAAAAGAATAAAACTTCCAACAAATGTTTTAAAGTGCATAAATAAATCCAAAATTGTAACCCTAACACTGGGTCGTCAGTGCGCATGTGTAGGCGTAGCGTGAATGTTTGTAGTGGCAGGAGGAACACTTGCTGAAGAGATGGAGCCACAGCTTCACCAGTGTTGTGCAGAGTTGTCCACACCTCGTGGGACTTTCGGATAATTTATCACCTTTGATGAACCACACAAAGAATATTATATCGTTTTTAAACAGCCGCTACTTGAAAGACCCGCGAGGAACCGCAACGTGCCGCAAAAACTCGAGAGAGAGAGAGAGAGAGAGAGAGAGAGAGAGAGAGAATGGTCAACAATAAGCCTCAGTTTAGCTTCGGCTCGCAATCACCATGCACAAAAACACACATGATTCGACTATCAGTCTACTATAGGCAAGACTTGACGATTCTGATTCGACTGTGTAAATCGTTAGTCGGGGACAGCCCTAAATTTATTATTGATGTGAATAGGTGCCACATGCACATTTAAAGACATTACTTCAGTCAATCATCATGCCTGTGCTGACTCAGCTGGGAGGAACTGTTTAATGCTGGAAAGTTTCTGTGGGACATCCACACAATTAATATAGTTGTGATTATGTTGTTTTTACTAGCAGAAATAATAACAATTAAAGCTGCAAGCAGCGTTGGGCGGGCCCTCGCACTTGTAGCGCGTCCGCGGGTGAGCCGGCCGAGTTGCACATTCTGGAGCTCTGCCGGTGCGGCTGTGAATTTCCTACGCGGTTCCGACGCCGCATGAAGGTGTTATATGTCACTTCCTGTGTCCCCTATGTGGAGTTACATAGCACTTGCCGCTATGAATATAAATCGGTATTGGTGTGTAGATGTCTGCGGGGTGGGAGAGTTATCAAGCACGTAAAGTTTGTTTCAGATGTGAGCATGTACACTGAAGTTACAACAACTTCCTGTGTCAATGGCGAAGAGTTGATCTTTGACGCCACGCCACAGACACGCCCATTGACGAAAACTTGCAAATAGCACAACTTTTCATCTTTAATGCCTTTAGAAGGCACAGCAGAAATTTGAAGTCGGTTGGACTAAATCCCTAGGAGGAGTTTGTTAATGTACGGAGTGTGTAAATGATCCAAAAATGGCGGTAAAATTCAAAATGGCCGACTTCCTGTTGGGTTTAGGGCATCGCTCCAAGAGCCTTTTTGTGCATCTGGACAAGATACACGTACCACAGAAAATTCGTGCATGTAGGTGAAACTTGCGGCGGGGGCTGCTTCGTTAAAAGTCACTTCCTGTTACCAGCAGGTGGCGCTATGACTGTGGGTGAATGTCGGCATGTACATGTGTTCAGGGCGGGACTCTCATCCTACATGTACACTTTGGTCCAGATGTGAGCATGTACACTGAAGTTACAACAACTTCCTGTGTCATGGCGAAGAGTTGATCTTTGACGCCACGCCACGGACACGCCCATTGACGAAAACTCACAAATAGCACAACTTTTCATCTTCAATGCCTTTAGAAGGCACAGCAGAAATTTGAGGTCGGTCGGACTAAATCCCTAGGAGGAGTTCGTTAAAGTACGAAGTGTGTAAATCATCCAAAAATTGACGTAAAATTCAAAATGGCCGACTTCCTGTTGGGTTTAGGCTATGGCTCCAAGAGACTTTTTTGTGCGTCTGGACACGATACACGTACCACAGAAAATTCGTGCACGTAGGTGAAACGTGCGGCGGGGGCTGCCTCGTTAAAAGTCACTTCCTGTTGCCAGCAGGTGGCACTATGACT